CTCCGGTTAATTGGCTCGAGACAAATAGATGGGCCATTATTACCCTCTAAACTTTGAAACGACAATTGGAACTTATTGTTCCCTTGACTAGAAATAAGGGTACTAAATTCCACATATTCATTATTCCAAATTTTGGCTTTTACTCTATCGTTCACTCTAGAATCTATTTCCAGGCTGCTTGAATGAAAAATAGTTTTTGGAATAGATGGTGTATCACCATAACGTATACCTGCGATAGCTTCTTGGGACTGCCCCACAGCTACTTCGACCAGGGAATCTATTGTAGGTTGGACTTCCTGCAAGATGTTGTGGTCTACTGGCTGCTGTAGAATGCTGGCATCTGGCGGATGTGGACTCGACGACCCTGGTAGGCTGACTGAAGCGGTTGGATTGGTACTCATGGAACTTCCAGATAGTCTCTGTGTCACAACATCAGCAACCTTTGTCACCAGCTGCTCAAGTAGATCTGGGGTCAGTGTTGTTGCTGCAGCTTCAACCACTTGTACAGGTATTTGGCTGGATGTTGACCTTGATTTCTTTGCTGGTCGAGTTGCCTTTTTGGCTGGACGTTTTACAGCTCGGGCGGTTCACAGTTGAAACAACGTCTGCTGCGCTTGGACCCGGATTCGAGGTGGATCGTGTTACACTTCGAGGCATATTATACTATATGAAAGAAACATACATAACTTGGCAGCTATTTGACCTGAAAAGTTATATAAACCCCACACTGGCATGCAAATTTTTATAAACACAACTAGCCAAAAGGCAGCGCACCTCACTGGCAAAAGTGTAAAGAAGCCAAAATGATTATAATAAACCACACTGGCATGAAAAATATATAATATATCGCCAAAAGGTAACAAACACCTCACTGGAAAAATGTAACAAACCAAATGATTATCTTAAACCACACTGGCATGAAAAATATATAATATATCACCAAAAGGTAACAAAGCCCTCACTGGGAAAATTGTAGACCTGCCAAATGATTATCTTAAACCACACTGGCATGAAAAATATATAATATATCGCCAAAAGGTAACAAAGACCTCACTGGCAAAATTGTAGACCTGCCAAATGATTATATTAACCCCGTGGATATTCGTCCGACACCGGATCTTCCTGCTTCACGGCTATTCATCCGACAACGCTTTAAAAGCTAACACTAAACCACTAAAATGGTTGCGTTGTTTCTTAAGAACGAAGCAACAACATACTCGATACGCTATACGTTTCGTACGCGGTGCGTAAGCGAAAATCACGAAGAAAAAAAAAAGTATAAAAAAAAATAATAAAATAGTGGCGCGAGCAGGAATCGATCCCAGAACTTGGCGCACACAATACGGGTGCCTAAACCACTACACCACGAAGGATTCGCTTGAAATTCAATTAAATTTACGCTGTTTTATTTTTAACGACTTTAACGATACGGAAATGTCGGACGAATATCCACTTCCTTATATTAAACCACACTGGCATGACAAGAGTGCTCTCACTTTTAAGGAATTATCCTTAAAAATAGGAATTTTGAAGACTTTTAAGGATTTTTTTAAGGAATTTAGGTTTTTGAGGATTTTTTTAAGGAATTTCCGAAACATTTTATCCTGGACTAAAAACGTTGGACAGAGGATAACCACGCCACGCAAATGAGATCTAAACTTGAAAGTAGCAACATTATACGCATATAATTACATTTAGTATAATTACATAGGTGATTATTGAAAGTTCTCCACGCTGATTGGTTGCCGTTGAGGTGATTATTACGCGATAATCACCTAAGCGATTTTCAAAATGGCGGCCGAAGCCATTTTGTCAATTAAATGACAAAGAAATGTGTATTTTCTTATTTTTTTCCAAATAATCACCTATGAAATTATACTAAAATAATTATTCACCTCAGGCTCGGTGATTATCGTGAATAAAAACTCGACTTCGTCTCGGTTTTTATTCACCGATAATCACCTCGCCTTCAGCGAATAATTGTTAAATATTCGTATGTTCTCTATGTCATAAATGTTCTTATGTTCCTGTACCAATTTGGTTCCAGTACCAAATAACACAAATCACACTCATATAACATAATTGTCATCATAATATAATAGTGTTTCTGTACATGGCTTGCAGGCATGTGATTTATAACAAAACTTAAAACAGTGTTTTGAAACCCTAGTTTTTCACAAAATGTGTTCTCAGAACGCTGCAAATGCCATTTCCGGGATTCAAATTTTAAAATTTTTCCGTGCCTTTGGCACGAGCCTCCCCCCCCCCAATATTTCGTAAAGTGTCCGCCACAGGTCTTTTCATTAAAATTCTCAAAAGTTAAATGTCAGTATATGCTGTTTCTTCTGAAATCTACAGATTTTTTAAGCTCTTCATGCAGCAACAATCAAAAATACATCATGTTGAATGTTTTCTTTATGGCATTACGCTAACAATCAAATGCTTAGAAACAAGGTTATATAAAAAACTGCAAAAAGGAGGAAAAAAACACTTTTTGCAACTGTGTGATCACAGAATAGGAAGTTATACCTTCCTATTCTGTGGTGTGATCAGGCCTTCTGGTAATTTTACCAATTTAAGGAATTTTAAGGAAATCTGAGGAATTTTCGAGCTTTTTCTAAGGAATTCGAAAATTTGATTGTGAGAGCACTGCATGACAAATATATAATATATCGCCAAAAGGTAACAAAGACCTCACTGGCAAAATTGTAGACCTGCCAAATGATTATATTAAACCACACTGGCATGAAAAATATATAATATATCGCCAAAAGGTAACAAAGACCTCACTGGCAAAATTGTAGACCTGCCAAATGATTATCTTAAACCACACTGGCATGAAAAATATATAATATATCGCCAAAAGGTAACAAAGACCCCACTGGCAAAATTGTAGACCTGCCAAATGATTATATTAAACCACACTGGCATGAAAAATATATAATATATCGCAAAAAGGTAACAAAGACCTCACTGGCAAAATTGTAGACCTGCCAAATGATTATATTAAACCACACTGGCATGAAAAATATATAATATATCGCCAAAAGGTAACAAAGACCTCACTGGCACAATTGTAAACCTACCAAATGATATAATTTAGAGTTATAAACCCACACTGGCAGTAAAGGCCAACTTATAAACAGCCAAATGCTCATGTTAAATAGCATTAAATTACCGATATAAATTAAAGTGAGCTGGACAATGCCAATGTCTCAATAAATTACTATATCCCCATGATATAAATACAATGACAGTGTTACTTCAAAATTGGCAAACTAGGAATTAATATAAAAACAAGACGCTCGAAAGAGCGTTGACTCGCTGGGGCTAATGGGTAGACTTGGTTCAAGTCCGTCTCTCAGCGCAAGCGGTCAAAAGCTAATGGGCTGCCTATAGTGATACACTTGTCAGATCACAGTGATGGTACATTGGTACTACAATCATGCATATGGCCAATTGAAGAGTTAATTGTGATCTGTCCCCTGTTGCAAAATTGCGGTGTCCCACCGATGTGTCAAGTTGGGCACCGCTACCTGACAGCAGACGGTTTGGGGGGAGGAGTTTGTTCCGAAAATTCCTTGCCCGTCTAAATCGCTGACTGAGACCGACTATCTCTGGTTTATTATGCATCCAAGTGACCCAACAAGGAAAAAAATACCATCGTTCGAATCAGCGTACGAAATTGTACCTAGGATACCAAATTCATTACTGAACAGCAGTATTCTGGCGATATATGACCTTTGAAAGTCAAGCGAAGTTGTATTGTTGACAAATGTCACAAATCGCTCTCAAAATTTATATTATTCAGCTATTTAAAAATGCAGTACGTTTGCTCCTTGATAACTTTCGTATCGTTGGTTTTCTCCTTTTCAGCCGTATACGAATGGATTCGTCTCACTTTTATCTTCATTTTGATAGTATTTTGATTCGACAATTGTTTATTTTGAAGGTTTTAAAGCGAAGTATTAACCATGCGTGTGGAACTGTCCGCCGACAGGAGGAATGTAGCGAATACGATAAAATATAACCTTTACATATAGCACAGTTTGTAGGCGGAATCGCATGAAAGTTTTATTTGTAAAGCACCGCATTTAGTTAGTACTGTGTCTGGTCTACTCTGTTCTTACAAAAGCATAGTTAGCACTGAATTAGCAGTCTTATATCGAGTTTATATTTCATACAATTGTTCCTGTGCATCGCCATCGGCGATAGCTGTCTCTTACTTTGTATTTCTATTTTTGTCGGGCTAGAAGATGTCATTGGGCTATTCCATTTAATATCCGTACCCCCCCTGTCGAGGATCCCTGGAATTCTTCAGGGGTAAAGGGTTTTGAGCTTGGAATTCTTCAGGGGTAAAGTGTTTTGAGCTTAGAATTCTTCAGGGGTGAATGGTTTTGAGCTTGGAATTCTTCAGGGGTAAAGGGTTTTGAGCTTGGAATTCTTCAGGGGTAAAGAGGTTTGAGATTGAAATTTTTCAGAGCTTGGAATTCTTCAGGGGTGAAGGGTTTCGAGCTTGGAATTCTTCAGGGTAAAAGGTTTTGAGCTTGAAATTCTTCAGGGGTAAAGGGTTTTGAGCTTGGAATTCTTTAGGGGTGAAGGGTTTTGAGCTTGGAATTCGTCAGGGGTAAAAGGTTTTGAGCTTGAAATTCTTCAGGGGTAAAGGGTTTTGAGCTTGGAATTCTTCAGGGGTAAAAGGTTTTGAGCTTGGAATTCTTCAGGGGTAAAGAGTTTTGAGCTTGGAATTTTGGAATTCTTCAGGGGTAAACAGTTTTGAGCTTGGAATTCTTCAGGGTTATGACAATGAAAAACATGTATCCTCGACAGGGGGGGTACGGATATTAAATGGAATAGCCCATTTTGACCGCTTAACAAGATTTATTTGGCATTAACACATCTCCAAATTCATTCTTCTTGTCGTTGAATCCTCAGTGCAGTAAAATGTCAGTTTTAAAAGAACGTAAACATGTTCATACTGGTTAAAATAAACAGCAGCTTTGGCCGCTTTTTTAGTAATATTCTTGAATTTTTCTCAATACTTAGGGTTATTTATGGATAATTTGGGTAAAAATTGGCAGGAACCAAATGGATAATTTGGGTAAAAGTAGGTAGCTCATTAGTATTCTATTTTGTGGCTATCAATCGGAGAAAAATCAGAGCCGAAACCTATACTCGCCAGGGCACAGGTGCCCCAGCGAGTAACAAGACGCCTGTTCAGGCGTTCACACTGACCTGAAAATGACGACATACGAGCTACGGTGCAATAGACAAGTTAGAATACAAATCGTGAACCGCAGACGCAAAGCGTGAAAGGCTAAAAGCGCGCCGTGATCCTCAGGAGATGTTTTCGTAATGCCCAATAAACACACAAGTATTACTCACAAATACAAACGTTATCCACAAATGCACATGGTTTAGCTCTGAGCATGCGATGCGCTAACGCAGACAACATTGAGTTACATTCCGTGAGTCCGTATAAACGTATAAAACTTGAAAAACTCAGCGATCCAGATATTGCATTTCCAGAGACGTTGCACGAAAAAAACCCAACCATGCAGTCAACTTCCAAGGAAGCGCAGTTTGAAGGTAAAACGTCTTAAGTCGAATTTTAGACCCCTACGATTTAAACAGCGCGTTGTTTTGACTTACGTTCTATGGGCCGCGCTAAAAATATAAATATTCTGTAAATACCGAAATGAAAGATGAAAATCTGAATTAAGACACAAGCTTGAAAATAACACTATAAATAGTGTTTTGGATTCTGATGCCATTAATACTATTACGAAAAAGGTATGTCCAAAGGGGCCGAAGTTATGTACGGCGAAATGTAGGGCTAGTTTACATTTTTCACTATATTATGAAATATGATACTATACCTCACTTGTATTAAAATTCGCATCGAAGTTAAAAGTAATGTTATTGTTTGACGCAACAAATCTCCAGTAACACAATAAAATGTATGTTTCTTGTAGTTATCAGTAGCAAGTAAATGTTTCCGCGTTTTGTACAGATGTATCGTCTGAGGGTAAAACGTCTTAAGTCGATCAGTAGCAGGTTTATTAGCTTTGAATTAGCAGGTTTATTAGCTTTGAATGTCATTGCTCTGAAGATGTCTTAAGTTAAAGACGAAACGTTAGCTTTGAACCCATCACGGATGTCGCGCAATTGACTGTACATTACGGATGCGCGAATGACTATATGTGTATTGCATATGATACAAACACATTGAGTATACAATTCTACTCTGCGCATACAATATTTGTAGTCAAACTGTCAAACTTGTCCTTGTTTATATTCTATTCTATTGTATAAATTCGCTTGGTACAAATCCCATACAATATAGTACAGAGAAACGGTGAAATGCTAAAAGCGTGGCGTGATCCTCAGAAGATGTTTTCGTAATGCCCAATGAAACACAAGTATTACTCACAAATACAAACGTTATCCGTAAATACACATGGTCTTTGAGGCATATAGGGACTCAGGAGGTTTAGAACTGGTAATTGACTTGTGCGCGTGCGTACAAGTGTATGGGCTAATAAAGAAATTAACGATGTACCACAAGCATAGCATGAGACTGCTACTACGTACATAAATACGGACCTTGTTACTATGAACACTAAATCAAGCAGTCGAGGAATCGAATGGCATTTGAATCGATGGCATTTTGGGTTAATCGTTGCACACTGAGCCTGCGATGGGCTAACGCAAACTCCATTTCTCGACGAAAACAGAAAACAGAAAACTAGGGATTTAAGACACTTGACCTTTCAGGTCAGTGTAACTAATTACAAACACATGGTTGACGCAAACACATGGTTGACGCAGCGGCTAGTGCTACTCACCTAAACCTATCACTGCAGCATGCTCAAAGCTTGTAATATGGCACCTCGATAACTACGGTATAAAAAATATTGACCTAATCTATTGAGGTGAACGCCATCATGTAAATATAAATCCTTAAATATACTGTTAAATTGCTTGTGTTGCCAACAAAAAACATTAGGATATTGCTCCAATACAACGCTTAGGTATTGATTCAAAAGCTTTACCTTTTGAAAAAATTGTTCGGCCGCCAGATACAAATAACTGCGGGGAATCACATGGCAAACACCTATAGCTCGGACGCTCGAAAATTCGCCTAGAATATGGCAAACTAAATCATCGATCGAGGATCCAACAACCTCAGGCCTTTGATGGCTGAGATCGTTAGTTCCTATTTCCAGAATAACAATAACTGGACGTAATCGACTCAAAATGTTTAAATCAAATTGGCGTAGTTTACTCACAGTTCTGCCTCCTACGCCGTGTAAAGAGACAGAAGCTGTACCTCGAAGTTTAAAATCTTTACGTGCCCTTGGATCGAAAGATGAATTTAAATCACGCTGAAGACGTTTTACAAAAGAGTGACCTAAAATGATAACTTTAGGGTCGGTGTTTGCCATGTCTAAACGTTGACTTAAAACACAAATCCAAACACAAAATATTATATTTAGTAAAATCAATGCAAGAGAAATTAAGATCGTAAACAAAACTTTGTACGTTAAATGAAAGTTAATTACTAAAATGATTTCTTACCAATATATATTTAACACAAGATGTGAAGGATTGAAAATATCCAAGACTTCAAAATTTTTCTTCTGTTATCTCACGTGGTAGCCTTGGTTTTATGTCGGCGTTCTACGCCAGACCGAGGCTCGTCACCAATCCCCCTTGCTTCTTCCTTCACATCGGCAACTTCCGTGTGATCAACTTGGATTAAATTTTCAACCAAGAAACTCATAAAAACTCTATTTGCCTTCAAATATTTCATTTAATTTTTTCTCTATGGTAATAACATATGGTATAAAAACCTACAGACAGAATCACCGTGTTTAAGCCAAACTAACAACAACAACAGTGCAATCTTCTTATAATCAGTCTAGAAAATTATTTCTCTTGTTGTGTAGTCTGTGTTTTCAAACTTTACAGTGCACGAGTTTATTCCAATGCGCATGATTGTTTGATTGGTTGATTTGACTTTATTTTAACAGGATAAGCCATTCAGGTATCCATAATTTCATTTAACTTTGGAAATGTGCGATTCCATTGTGAACAAAAATACAAATAAAAAACTACATTTTAGACAAGTGACCACAATCAATCAACTTGATTTACATGAGTGCCGTGCATTAGAGTTTAAAAAGAGTTCAACTGTATGAGCAACAAAAATTTCTTTCATCTGAAAGAGCTTGTGAAATGGTAATGGAATATGTATATTGCAAATCTTTCGTATCTTTCTTAGTTTTTGAGATACTTCAATGTGTTTGATATGTATATTATGACGTCACAAGCTGGGTATAAAATTTAAAAACATTAAAATATCCGCTACATTCTGCAAATTGTTTCTAATACTTACTTGACTTGTGTATATATGACAACTCTTCATGTCACTAACATGGCTGTTATGTAATCAACCGGATTTATCTGATATTTTAAATATTTTAAAATTGTGTACTCAGCTTTTGACGTCAAAATTTGCATAACAAACACATTGAAATATGAATTTTTTCTGTGTTGGTGTAGTATACTCAGGTGAATATGATATTTGTGGTGTTACTCTGAGTGCATATCCACACCGGGCGAGCTTGAAAAATATGCCCGGCCACGGTGGGATTCGAACCTACGACCTAGCCCAATGCTCTTCCAACTGAGCTACGCGGTCAGGACGGTTCGAGTAAAATATATCACAAAACGAAGAAACATACGAAAGATTTGTATGTATGGTAATGTACCATTTGACAAGTTCTTTCAAATGAAAAGAAAATTTTATTATAAGAAATTCTTTGTTGCTCAAAACTAATTTTTTCCCCATTACTTCAAATATTGTAGTAATCCAATAGTCGTTCCCACAACAGCAGACATTAAGGAGCATAAAGGCCCGTCTACACGATGCGATTTTTTATTACGATTGTTGTATGCAACTTGCTGATGTCATCCCTGCGACTTTGTGTCGTCTATCTAGACGGTACAATTATTGTATGCGACTTTTTCAACCGAGAGATATATTAGACCCTCTTTTTTCTTCTTTTTTTTTAATTTGTCGTGGTCACACTTTGAACGGGAGGCATTACCAATTTCGCTTTCTCTCATCTCACTGTTGATGTCCGCCATTTTGAACGATTTTTTTCATAAAAAATGTATGAAAGTCGCAGTATTTTAATTTTTTTACGACTTTTTTGTGTTGCATACGACTGTCGTAAGCAAGTTGTAGGGCTACACAGCACGATTCGTGTCGCAGGGATGGTGTCAGCAAGTTACCTACAACAATCGTAAACAAAAATCGCATCGTGTCATGGGCCTTAAGATGCACCAAATCTGCGACTCGGGCGCGACTAAAAAACAGTCGCTAATAATAGCAGACTAGACTAAACCTTCCAAAATGTTTGCTTAGGAGCACTTACTAACTGTGCCAGATTTCATTTCATTTCTTCAATCCCTTCCGAGATATTTGACTTTCTTCTTTTTTAACACCGTTAGTGACGTCATAATACAAAATGCCCGATAACTTGGGAACGCTTTTCGCATAAAGGCAATGGGAAAGTTGCCAAAAAACAGCGAATTGACTCGGTTATGCGTCAGACGAACATGATTTCAAGTTATGTGCCACTAATTACTGGAGCTATCAGACTTTAGATGAATGAACTTCAGAATTTAATGATATCAAAAATGTTAATTTACCAGCACAAAACGCGTGTTCACTAAGGCATGTTTCGCGTGGTAAACTTCTCATTTCATATTCAATTCACAAGATATGACACACGCTGAAAGTGGTGATACTGATTGTTACTGGTGACCCTGAAGGTTTACGAAACGGAAAATTATCGCGGTGACCCTTAAGTAACGAGAAAATATGGTATACCTATTCAATAAGCCTTGCATACGTGTCTATATTAAAGCTTCTTGGTGATTTGTTAATTAATTAAGAAATGTGCTTTTTGCCCACGCTTCATATTCCACGCTCTACAAAAAAGCCACCCACATCTAGCAATAGTTATCAAAGGTAAGCTATGTCCGTCAGTGCAACACGCACAATCATGCTATAATTATACGAATTGGTGTTTGGCTCATTTTAATGCGTAAGGCCCAAGCACAGAAAACATAGCGCATCGTGACAAGATACCTGCAGATATGGTGATAATTAAAGGAAGCGATAAATTCCCATTTATGACAGTTTTTGACTCGTAGCAACTGTGATCAACAATTCCCCGGCAAAATCATGTTTGGGCGCTTTCCATTTGACGGAAATTCCGGAAATCTTGCTTGAAAATCAAATGGAACACGTTAATTTCTGGAATGCTGTTTCGAAAATTCCGGACAATCTCTCGAGGTTGTGCACAAATTGGAGATTCCGGAATTTTCGAAATTTTTACATTCCATTAAAACATTTCCCAACCAACGTTGCTGGTTCCAAAAGTTTTTTGAGCAAAAACCGCCGCCAAAACCAATATGGCGGTTCTCAACCATTTCAGTGCCTCCAGTCTGGATTTATTTCGCCGAATGCTGAAAGAAGAGATTTGAGCGGCAATTAAAGAAATATCATTCCAGAAACTAACGTGATCCGTTTGATTATCAAGCAAGATTTCTGGAATTTCCGTCAAATGGAAAGCGCCCGACAAGCCTCCCATTATTTACAAGGCCTGTCACGCTGTAGCGTTCCATTTTGCCACTGGACATTTCGAAAACGCAAACTGTTTTTTCGTTCGAATTGAAAGCGCCCTTCGTGTAGTTGACCAAGTGTTAAGTGCGTGTGCTAAAGAATATTGCATGACACTGGACGAAAACGCTTCAGTGAAAATCATTGCTTTTATCGCGTGTCCTGTATGTATATCTAGCATATTACCTACGGACGAAAGTAAAAACTAACAAAACACAGTCATAAAATGTGTTTGTTTTTCAATTTCCCTATAACGTCACGGCGGGGTAATTTATTTAATTCAGTTGCCCCATTACAATGAAAATCCCTATTTGGTGGATTTCAAGTGGGTTTTTATGATTCTGAAGCTAATATACTGCTGTTCCTCGTTCCTTTGTCATGGTTTAAAACTTCTAATTAGTCAATGAAATTGCTAGAAACATTCATATCATTGCACTGGTTTCTTTATTTTCACGTGTGAATCATGACCTTTACTGGATTTCTATCTCTCTTATAGAAAAGTAACGCGCAATCATTTTCTGCAAAATGTTACTCACTCTATAGCCTTAAAAAAGTAATTAATTACGTTACAAAATTACTTGCGGCAAGTCTTTAATTATTTATTTACTGAAAAATTTAAAAGTACTCAAAAAGTTGTCGGTAAATAGTAGCTATATATATAACGAGTTACTTTAACGAGTATATTAAAGGCGCTATTACACTATGCAACTTGTCTCGCAATGTTAAGAAAAATGATTTCAGCATTGTATTGCAATGATTACTCCCCCCACCCGAGAGTAATTAAATTAATAAAAGCTCTCGCTCTTATGCTCGGCTTTTCAGTTTTCACCCTTTTTTCACGATCTAAACTACAAGCATATGAAAAAAATGGGATCAAGTTTGAAATGAAGTTTTAGAAGTTCCTTTGCTTATAAAAACTGTTCTAAGCATAGAACATTGTGTCTTTTTCGCTTCAGCACAAAATTCACAAGTATCAAATCAACATTTCTTCTAGGAAACGTATTCATAATGACAATTTCGACAAATCTGAATAGCTTCTTTAAGATTTTTTAAGCTTCTTGAAGATTTTTTTAAGCTTTTTATGCTTTAATAGCTTCTTCAAGATTTTTTTGCAAAACAGTAATGGAGTGTCAGTAAATGAGTAAATGACTAAAAGTAACAGCTAAATATCACTAGTATAAAAATTCCATAATGAAGTCAGACATTTCATTTATCTCCCTGTTTTTTGCCACATATCCCGGTTGTTTTAAGCCCACCCCTATGTTTGACGTCTCTCAAAGTTTAACACGTCTGTTTAATAAAATTATGTGTTTGTTGAGGTAATAAGTACTTATATTAAATTTCGAAAGATTTAGGCTTTTCCGTCCGCTTATAATAACTGGAAAGAGCCTTTACACACAGAATTTCTAAGAAGAACAGACAAGAACTGATAAATCTATGCAATATAAGTACAAGTATAGGTCAGTTTGAAATTAATCTGAAACTGACCACTAAAAGTTATCACAAGTACTCTATAACCTTTTTTATGGAGAATGTATGATGATATGAAGAACGTCCTCGAATTGAATTATCTATCATCCAATATCTAATTTAAAATATCCGCATCGACAAAGAAATATTTAAGACCTTTGACTATCTCTCCCAGGAAGAAATTTCAAAGACTTTATTCATGAAAAAGAGTCCAATATTATTCAAACTCCCCCAACTCCTCGAACATATATAAAGCTATGATTTTACTGGTTACGAAGTGTTTTAGATACTTAGTGCTATTCGTTATAAGGTAGGCAACTATAACAGTTAGGTATAGTATGATAAAATTTGCATTACTGGTTGCACTTGGAGTGCTGTTAGTATTTATTGGCCGGAGTAAAGGAACACAAAATGCAGAGTCAGGTAATGATCAATCTGGTAAAAACGCATAAACCGGAGCGCCCGGAGAAAATTTGTACGATTTTCGGCAGGGCGTTGAAAGATTCTTTTCACGCGAGTCCGTACTGAGAAACGAATCTCGATCTCAGACGTGAATGGCGCTTAGTCCGCCACCGAAGCCATATAATCATCTGGACTGCTGCATAATGTGGGAAAAAGACCCAGGTCAATGAGTGGAATAACTAATTGACGAATCACTTAGAATGTAATTTCAATCTGTCTCAATTTTTAGACCAACCATTGGAAACAAAACGAAACATATACCGAAGAAGATGTCGTGCTCCGGTAGTTTACGACTATTGCCGACGTGAGTGCAAATGTAAGGATGGCCGATTATACAACTGCCACCGGGTAAGACGCGAGTTCTCAACGATGTCAATCCGAGACCGAAAGGCGTACGTTCGCGCGGTTAAGCTGATCTCTACCCATCCATGGTTTAGAAAGGATTATGAAAAACTCTTAACCATCCATAAAACATATTTTAATCAACAAATTCACGAATTTGAATACTTCCTACCCTGGCATAGATGGTTCATTTTAAAATATGAGGATCTATTACGACGAGTTAGTTGTCGAATAACAGTTCCCTATTGGGATTTCACGCTGACCGCAGGGGAACCGTTCACGGGCGCAATTTGGAACAAAACTGCCGCAGGATTAGGAGGCGACGGGGTGGGCCCCCCAAGATTATGTGTCAAGAATGGCCAGTTTCGGGAGGGAAAATGGTTCCTCATCCGATCGGCGGGGGGTGGGTGCTTAAAACGGAACTTTCTCCGAGATGAAATATTTCCAGACCTGATAGCCTTACAACAATTTTTGTCCATGTTTTCGTCCGCTGATAAATTGAAGGACTTCGAATTGATGCTTCGAAATGATTTTCATAATAATATACATTTTTTTATTGGTGGATTCGGTGGCACAATGAGCGGTCTGGATTCGGCAACAGCCCCCGAATTTTTCTTACTTCATGCTATGGTCGACAAGATATGGGCTGATTGGCAGAAAAAGAGCGCCAAGCACTTGTATCCTACGGAATTTTTGTACCAGAACGGCAAGATGCCGGGGACTGAGTACTACTCGCGTGATTTCCTCAACCTAAGTCAGCAACCTCGATGTACGGCGGTCAAATACACAGGCCCGGACAAAAAGATGAAACCACTTGTGGCGATGATCCAAAAGCTTTCAGGTTTGTGATTTATTTATTTATTTATTTTTATTTATTTAGCTTTGCCAACTAGGGCAGGGTCACCACAACAGCATATGCCAATTACTGTGGGCCCTTTTTTACCTAACCCACCCTGTCAACTTTTCCTGTGGGAGGAAACCGGAGTACCCGGGGAAAACCCAAGGCTTTCGGCAGAGCGTTGACTTTTACTCTTTTCACATGGGGACTGGGTTCGAGTCGCACTGAGAAGGTGCTTAGTGAGACTCGAACCTGCAGCCTCAGAGGTGAAAGGCAAGTGCGCTAACCACTTGGCGACTTAAGAGATTTTTGAAGCCTATGAATAATACCACCTGTACAGTGTATAGGGAACAACAACACTTACCGAACAAGCAACGTATAAAAGCTTGAAGCAAATCGCATGCGTAATTAAAAGATACTGCAATACTTTTATGGTCAATTGAATCTCGTGAAAGAGCTTCTTTAAACTTTTCACCGAAAAAACTCAAACAAATTATCAAAATTAGTAAAAATGCAAAAAATTATTCTCTTCGAGGTAATTTTTTATCCAATGACGAATAATAATGAAAGAGATAAATGATAAGCTATCCAAGCATGAAATATATTTTCTAAAACTATTGAATTAAGTCTGGTACGTTTAATGTGTGCATTATTCGTGCGCCAGGAGTATATATTATGACGTGCATTTTGAAGGAGAAAATATACTAATTTAAACTATAAAATTGAGCTATAAAAGAACGAATTATCGTAAATTGTCGCTATTTATAACATGCGAAGGAGTGTATTTGTGTTATATAGGAGTTTTTCATGGATTTGTGTTGATAACGAAATTTAAAATATTTAATCATATGTTTCATTTAAGACAAAAGCAAAATCCCATTATATACTTAACATCATCTTAAAGAACATTGGTAATAAAAAGTTAGTTTAATCCATTTGAAAGAACTCTTAAAACTATATACTAAACTCATCAATACTCTATTACACATTTCTTATAAACAAGGGCAGATTTCGTGCTCGACCAATCAGCGCATTTGTTTACATTTTCGCTCTCAGCTAATCACAATGCAGGAAACGAGCAGTTTACACCAAGGCGAGCTAGAAAATATTGCCGTCTTCTCGGGCTTCCGTGATATTCAATTTTAACTTTTTTAATTTAAAACCAAAAGATCATGATGCAACACATTAAAATCTAAAACTTTGCTGTGGGCATTTTTAAATTTCGACCTGGAACAGAAAATATCCATGTTTGAAATTTTTCCCAATGTCGCGTATACAAATTTGAGTAATCTAATTTGACTGCAATAAAACTAAAAATTGCTATTATTTTCTTTGCTTTTAAGTTTTTGTTGGAAAACTCTTTTTCATTCTTCTTGCAAATTGTTTTGGTCAATGTTTTATTTCAAAACCTAGACGATAACGCGTTTGCAGCGCCTGATTTAAAAAAATATATAGTCGCACTCTCGCAATCATACGGGAAATCAATACAAAAATATTGTCCGACCGACTTTGCAGAAAATCAGACTCTCTAAACGCGTTATCTTCTAGGTTATGAAATAATACATTGACCAAAACGATTTTCAACAAGAGCGAAAAAGATTTTTCCAACAAAAACGTAAAGCAGAGAAAATATAGCAAATTTTTAATTTTATTGCAGTCAAATTAGATTACTCAAATTTGTATTACGCGACATAGGGAAAAATGTCAAGCATGGATATTTTCCGTTCCAGGTCGAAATTTAAAAATGCCTACGGAGATTTTAATGTGCTGCATCACAATCTTTTGGTTTTAAATTAAAAGAGCTAAAATTGAATGTCACAGAAGCCCGAGAAGATGGCGATATTTTCTAGCTCGCCTTGGTGAAAATGTCTCGTTTCCTGCAGAGAGCGAAAATGTAAACAAATGCGCTGATTGGTTGAGCACGACATCTGCCCTTGTTATTTCTTATATCTTGCTTAGTTTTCAAACTATTTCGATTAAAAAAAGTGAGCTGTTCGTCTTGGATTATTGAGATTTGAGAAGATGCATGTTACGTCAAGAGAGCTAGGGGTCATGCCATTTTTTTTATCTTGAGAGTAAGCGATCAATATGGGTCCAAAACTTCGTTTGTGGTTGCTGTCTGAAATTTAGAAATGATTAAATAAACTTTTCAAACAATTTTTGAATGTTACTCGGTCATTTTAGAGTAGTTTTATAAGGTTAACTCAACTCCTGACATAATCAAAACCATAGTTAATGAGGTCAAGAATTAGTCCAAGATGGCGGACAGTTGATTATTTTCGGTCTAAATAAGTTTTCGAGAAGTAAGCAAGATATGAAAAATCGGTAATGTAGTTTAATATATTATTTTTGAACATATAATATATAATTTTTTTGAATGAGGCAAGCTAATTTTTTATTCCCTACAAATGAACATTATTTCATTTTGCAAATAAGTTTCTACTTTTCGTTGCAAATTGTTCTTATGTATTCAATTTTTAATTGAAATGAGAAATGAATATAAAATCATATTACTATTCCTTCATGTTTTCAGCTCGCCCAAGCGTCATCAACAGAATTCCACGACGAAACTGGGCGCATCTAAGAAAGGAGGTTATAGACATTTTCAAATTAAAGGCTGTGGAACAGCAAAGACTCAAGGTGCTTCACCTTCTCTTCAGACCACGTGTTGCATTAAAAAACAACGCACTACAAGGAGTTGACCGAAAGCTAGGCTTTAGCGTAAAGAAGGTTCAAGAAATGGCCGGTTCTGGAAAATAGAGACATAATTGGAAAGAAAATACGTTTGATATAATTACACGTAATTAGTAAAACTAGTTTAAATAGATTTACACATAAATGCAAATTTAGAAATTAACAACATTGATTTTTGACTCAATTTTTTAACTATTAGAGTGCCTATATCATGGTTTTGGAGTTTGCATATCTCGAAAGTTTAGGATATTTTAAGACACTTTGCGATATATTTTGTTATTGAAAAATTACATCTTGATGGATATATTAGCTCTTAAAGTTAGCGGACATGACGTCAAAAAGAGAATTTTGTTGCAATGATACAAAGGAAAACTGATTTGCCATTCTCCTTTTGACGTCATGTCCGGTAACTTTTAAAAGAGCTATCGTGCATAAATTATACAATGGAATAATTACGCAATCACTTTACTCTGCCCGGCATACCAAGACAAGCATCTGCTAATTTCTCATCCAATTTCCATCCAAATAATATACATGAAAAATTTCTGAATTCTGATTGCCTAAGAGCAGTGCAATTTTTTTCGAAATATAGTGCCAAAAAAATGAAACACAGTGACTACAGATACAGCCATTTCTAGCAGAAAATAATGCAAAAAACCCAAACACTTGCAAGTGACAACTGGCAGGCGTTCTTAGTAGATTTTTTATTAAAATTGTTTATATTAAAATTAACTATTTCGCATGTGATCTACGCACGCCGATTATACAACTGCCACCGGGTAAGACGCGAGTTCTCAACGATGGCAATCCGAGACCGAAAGGCGTACTTTCGCGCTGTTAAACTGATGGCTAAACTGGTGGCTGCATATTTTTTCATGCATATTATATTAATAAGTAATAGTATGGTTTCTCGTTCAATTTGGAAAAACATACACTTGTTTTTTTCCAAATTGCACTTGAAACCATACTATTACCTGTACGAATGTATTATTATTATTATTATTATTATTATTATTATTATTATTATTATTATTATTATTATTATTATTATTATTATTATTATTATTATTATTATTATTATTATTATTATTATTATTATTAAAGAAACAATTTAAGTCCGTAAAATTTGTAAATTTGTCAATTAGTTCTTTAGGCGTTTTCTCAAAAGAATGTCATTCCTTTTTAGATATGTTAACTGATCTAGGTAGTGATAAAAGACACCAATATTTCGCTATCAGGAAAATTATGTCTATCGCGATTAGGACATATTATATATTTTGTTGCAGAGATAAGGACTGGTTAAATCCGGAATTACTGAACATTTAAGGATACTCATTATTAATATATAAATATTAAGTAGGTTCAAGTAGTCAATTATAAATTACCTAAATTAGTGAGATTTATAATTGTATATATACGTATATAATTTCAATAAAGTTTCCATTATTATTATTATTATTATTATTATTATTATTATTATTATTATTATTATTATTATTATTATTATTATTATTATTATTATTATTATTATTATTATCAGTATTATTATTATTATTATTTAAGCTTTATTTTGACACATGAATAATACACATATAGACAATTACATTTGAGAAACATATGGACAACATCAAACAACCAGGTGCCAAAAGAGGCGAAGCACAAACGAGACCATGTGCCATGCAGGGTGCTCACCATTAAATAATACAGAACAGACAAAATTACAAAATATATGAAATAGAAAGGATAATGGAAGGTTAGAAGCACAGTAGATGAAAAGAGATAAGAGGTAGAAAGAGATACATGGAGGAATGGAAGGAGTCAGTTGGTCTTGATCAAAGCGGAGTGCGAGATACGTTCGTCAAGAGTGTAAACAGTGGCTGTTAAGTGGAGATAAGTCTTGTGGTGTAGGTATGTTTTAAAGTCGTTGGAAAGACTGAAGGCCTAGTGTGATGGTATCGTCCGGTAGGATTTCATTATCAAGAATTAAGTTATTCAGCCAAGTTTCACAAACACATACTATATCATACTGATTTAGGTAAACAAGGTTCTGAAATATGGTCAACTTGCTAATCTTTTGACTGTTGTCGTCGTCGGGAGAATCTACCAGTGCTTTTAAACTACGTGCGTTGAGATACAGGGTTCGTAGACAACTCAGCCGTTTTGTCCTACCTTGGGTAGAAGAACAAGGACCTGGATTTGTAGCTACATCACCAGCGAGTAGAATAAGTAAAAAAACTTGGATTGTTTTACTATTTATTTGTAAATTTAATCCATAACGATAATTCGGCATGTAGTTAAACTTTCTTTGTTTACAGTCTCGAGTCGCTGTCCAAACATAACGTAGGTTTTCCGGTAATATCGCAAGTTCTGGATTAATAATAAACGCCGTTTAAAGTGGTTTGACTAGGAATGTAAGCAGGTTCCAATCTCGAGCACATCCAGATAATTGTTAAGAATACCATTAAACATTTCACTCCGTCCTTTATCCAGTGGAAAGTAGAGGCATATATTGGTTTCCAGGCAAATTGCATCTTAGTTCGTCAAAAATGTATTCAAAACGTAACCTTGTTTGTCGCAGAGTTGGTAAGTTTGATGAATAATTAGGCCAAATCGTCATTAGTGCCGTTTAGAAAACAAAAAACAAACAAAAGGCCAAGACAAAGAAAACAAAGGCCTAGTGTGATGGTGCATGTTTGGCCTAATTATTCAGCAAACCTAATTAAAGTCGTTGGCCAATTAAAGTCATATTGAATAATTTGTTCCAGAAATTTTCGTATTAATACGTCTAATAGTATTTCAGTTACATTGCCGCCAGACAAACACACACACATACCAAACTACAAGCCAAAATATTTTTTCTTTACTGCATAATTGTCAAGAAAAAGGTTTCTTCCTCTTATAACTTTACACATCCTAGTTCCCAGGGCCACGCTCGTTGCTCTCGCTCAGTGGCGAATTAACATAAAGTCACACCATACAGTAGATAATATGACCAAATCTCCAGTTGTGTTGCTTCTTGTAGGTTAAATCGAGGTTTCAGTGTGTCAAATCTTCTTCAGTACATGCATTTCAGAGAGTCTATATTTCAAAATTTTCCGCAGAAGCATGCCCCCAGACCCCCATAATGTTTGTTTATCCCGACCATGCAAACCAATCTTTCGCTGCATTGCTGTTCAAAAGCATTCTAATGAAGTTCTTAAGAAATATCTGACTGAAGAAGACTGAAAATTAAAAATATAGCATTATAGGAACACGTGTACTATTTGTCTGTCCCATGTATTGACAATTTTCAAAATTGAACTATTCGATGACGTCATATTATAATGTCGTTTTATGATGTCATACAATGTCGCAAAATGAAGTTATCAAGTTAAATTTTATCCTTTTATTTATTTGTATCAGTGAACACTATAAATATTGGAACGATAACTCGAGGTAAACTGTCCTACGATTGGGTGAAGCCAAGATGACAGCCGATTTTTCGTACTGAATTTCCGCGTAGGAGTCAGGGGCGGCACTACACCTATATTTGAATGGGTGGGTGTGTACAAGTAAGAGAATTTTGCCAAGTCATTGAGTTAAAATTTACCAACTCATTTCAAACGCTAATTAATATTTCTTTCACAAAAACTGTTGGCAAGTATATTTCTTACACTATTTGAGGTTACCGTACCATTCTTGCTTCCATGTTTCCTTTTTTATTTCATATTTTTGTACATTTCTCCACATTTTTGGTATAATTATTAATTTTTAATATGTGCAACTCCATTTTTGCCCTATCAAATTCATGTTTTGCCAACAGAGATTCCCTTCTTTGCCGACTACCTCACAACTGAGGGATTCACAACCGGGACCTTCTTTAGCCTCGCCCTTGGTAGGGGCCGGGATCCCTACAAGATATGCTTCAACTTCCACCACCTTGGATTAAAAAATACAGCTCAAGTTATCGTTCCAGTTTTTTATAGAGTTCAATGATTTGTACATGATGCCTCATTGTTTTTCATTATAGATAAAAGAGTGCTCAATACAACAAATATTTAGCAGAGCGAATTAATCAGTTAATTTGTTATCTTAAAATGTATTAATCAATAGCTACATACAGAGACGTAACTGACCGTTGTAAACACTGCGGAAGATTACGTTATCATGTACCCACTTTTTTTCAGGCGACCGGGCGAAAAATGATCAACTGCGCGTGCTCAGCAAGTTTAAAGTGAGTCGTCATCAGGTCGTCATCCAATCAGATGCATGCATCTAGTAACTTGCCGAGCATGCGCACAAAAAAAGTGGGTACACTAGTTACGTCTCTGTATGTCTCTACTCTGTGCTTCAGGCGATTAAATTCAGTTCGTTATAATGGCGTGATCTATAGTATGCTGACGTGCACCGCCATTATTTGCGCGCGCGTTCAAAATTTCCCGCCCAGAATTTCTTGCGATGGTGGCATTTCGCAAATCTCTCGGGTCTTTTGTTCAATGTTATATGTTTGTCTGCATCCATTATGCAGAGTTTTTCTTCTATGCAGAAATTGCAATGCTTTGCATCGGATGAGTATGCGCTTGCCTGCTTCAGAATTGACCATTTTAGGGTGTAATCTCTATCATTACTCTTTAGCTCCCAGATGTACTTTGACAGTTCGGTATCGTTTTTATATCTCTGAAATTTGAAGGATTTTTTTGTGATTTCCATATCTTTCCTTTAAAAGTAGTCGCCGAGATATAACGTTCTTTACATTAGGCATGCAGCTGTAGCTAACTTTAACTGTGTTGCGGTTGAATATTTTGTGAAAAGGACTTGTAGGTGGGAAGTGTTTATATAATAATATATATAATAATAATAATATAATGAATTTGTCACTTTATACATGATACAAACTAATTAAAGACAGATACAAATCGTGACGGGGGAAAGGAACAGGACTCTCGTCCCAATTGACACCTAACCCCTAAAAAGACATTACATATAAATACAGATAAAGAACAGGTTATAACACATTAGTTATGACAACTTATACTAGCTAAGGTTTGAATCGTGACTATAAAAGTATTGAACGTTTACACACTGCGACTTACCCACTATGCAGATTACAATTATGAATTATTCAAAATCAATTTGGAAATCACGAGTCAATTTATAACATATTTGTAAACATGATGAAAATGGCCGGATGATGGTTCGACAAATCGCAATGTGTAGACGCTGATCACGCAGTGCCCGGAGGTACGTAATGCGATAACTTAGTAGAATACAACTTATGAAGATGAGACTTGAAAATACTTAAAGAATTGGAGGATTTGACAAGAGACGGTAGAGTGTTCCATAGTTCAAC